TTGTATTCCACCTCTTCATTAGTAAAAGAAATGCTGTGTTGATGAATTACGCCAAACTGAAAGAGCGAAGGCTTTAAAGATACTGCCAGGAAAGTATTTTTTCTGAGTTACGTATTTCTAATTAGGGAAGTAATGATAGCCGTAATAATTTTTTGAAATCATTACATTTTGGCCTTTATAATAAATGTTTTAATGTGTTATTTATTTATTTATTCATTTATTTGAATGACTACTAAAGTTTTGATTAATTTGTTAACTTTTTATTGTTGTTGTTAATTTCTTAATCAACATCTTGCTACCAAAGTTCGTCTCTCTTTTATAAATAATGTTTCTGCCTAGGAAGTGTACATATGGATGTATATACAATTTAAGGTGTACATTAAACATGTACATAGAAAAAGATAAAAGTGGTGATTTTTAATATCTCTACAAACAATTCAATGTGCTGATGGTCTTCATGGTTTTTTCAATGTATTTTGCAATTGTCCTATTTTTTGCATTAAACCTTAGCTGGGTTCGGGGGCGCGGGGAATATATATAATTATGTGGTGGTGAATATAACGCATGTTTCCTGCTGTATTCATTGTGTTATTAATTAAAGTGTGAGCGAAAAATAATATTGTTCTAGAATTTGTGAAAACTTCCGTAAAAGTTTTTATAGTAATTGCATTAGGTTGAGAAAAATCACGTTAGTGAAATTAGAAAAGGTACGCTTAGTGAAAGACCAATCTGAAACTTTAAGTATACTTTATTGATAAGTAGGATAAAAACAATATTGTTAAAATAATAAATAGCCCCACGGTCAGTTTGTAGTTTCTAGAAAGTCTAAGAATAACTTTGTTTTTATTTGTAGAAATTTAAAGTATTTTTTCAAAAAAATGGTATCTATTTTTCTTACGTAACGTGATTCTGTAATATGCTATCCCATAATGCCGAGCGGCAAGGATGTGACACAGTGACTATGGATTGCTTTCTAAAGCAGCCTTTATTTAGAAATGTCTTTTTGAGTAATTATGAGAACCCGTTCTGTTTCGAGTCAGTATGATGTTGCTGTTTTTACTACCTTATAGTTGCAGTTTCTGGAAAATATGTTTGGTTTTAATTCCAAAAACTGCCGCTTTTATCGTTGGAATATGGTGTAACTAAGGTAATTGTTACAAATTAAACTGGTGATTGTTTGTATATGTATGTGTTTGTTATACATATTGTTCACGAAAACATATTGACATCTGGTGGGTTAATAAAACGCAATTTAATAAATTTAAACTTAAAAATGACGTATTGGTTTTGTTTGCTCGGGGATCGGTTTCTTGAATCGATACAATATTTTGTTAATTTAAAAACTAGCGCGTGTAGTTCAATAAAAAGGTTTAACCGAGGAAACCTGTGAGAAGTACGCTTTTGGATGCTTCCTGTAACGTGCCTCGATTGGCCCTTTTCTTCTGATTTTATTTTAATCATTAAATCAGAGCGGCGTATAGCGTGTGCAAAAGTTAATCTAAATTTATCTGGTTCGTGACACTAGGGAAATCGTCTGAGTGGGTCGCTATGATGACCTAGCCTCCGGTCACGCCATATAAACTGTGTGACAGAAATGGAAGTCCGCTAGGAACCGTAGTCCGCTTCCCATTACTTTGTACAGGTGACATTCGTCCCATATAGTAACCCCAATACTCCAACTAACCTTAACTTGTACTTATCATATAGGAGCCCGAACTTCCACTTCTAGGCCTACCATTCCTACCACACCTGCCGTGGTGTCCAGAAAGAAAACCTGGGCATCTTGACCTGGCCATGACCCCATCACCCCCTGCCTCTGGATTAACCCACTTAAAAAGGGACGCACTGATAACTTTCATTTTACAATTTTTGACATGTCACACAAACCAAGCGGTCTTCAGAGAAAGTTGGCGCTGTCCTCAGGTGTGATAACACGTGCGCTGGTTCACGGGACCCCGTATCATCCCCATATGGGATAATCCAGTGTTCACTCAAGGCATACTCCAGTACTGGTAGAGAGACTTGGCTGACGTTATTATCTTATTTGCAGCGACCTGACTCAAAAGGACGGTTTGAATTTTTTTCTGTGACAAGCATTCTGCATGACGTTGTGTATGTTAGTTTGATTTTCACATCCAAGGCGAAGCATCTTCCAGACAAACGATTTCAGGCGGCCTCAGAACCTTTTGCGTTGAACATTATTATTGAACAGCCTTTGCTGTGCGAGGTATTGTGTTCCTTGTATTAATTTTTACGCAAAACGGAGCGAAGACTAGAGAGCAAGGTAATTTCAAGGTGTTCATATATCTACAAGCAGGACTTAGAAGGGTATAAACACAAACAAGAACTTCACTAAAGATGAAGACGGCGTCCTGGGCACTTGTAGCAAGCCTTCTTCTGTTCAGCCAGTTTCTGGGCTTGGCGGAGACGGGAGGGTTTGGAAACTCCGATCTTTCTCAACTTGCCAGACTGACACAGAACCTACTGATAACGTTATGGTCCAACGGCACCGCGACGGCCTTAGATAGATTCATTGACAACAACTTTCCCGCCATTGTCGAGTTTTTGAACACGACTGGATTGCCGTTAATGAGAACGGCGTCTGAGATGGTCATCGACACGCTGCAGTATGTGAAAGCCTACGAATTGCCAAAGAACGCCACGGTTATGAAGGAGAACCTTAAGGGAGTGTTTAACTTGGTGAATTTTGATGACTTTGTTGGCATCTTGATCCAGGGAGCGCAGAGTGGTTTGCTGGGGAGACCCGCCAATGTGTCATCTGAGTGCTATGAAGACGCTTTCCTGTTCTTACAAGGTCTTCAGCGAGGAGAGCCGTGGGCTCTGAAGCGTGAGTGCATTCTGTACATCTGCATTTTTTTACAGCTAAGATGGGTGGCAAAAAGAACTCCCTCTAAGGGTCATCTAAAACATATTCACGTTCTTTAAAATAGTGGTACATGTACCTGGTAGGTGGCCTGAGGAACTCTCTACCAGGGCCAAAGAGTAGTTGTTTTACGAGATATTTACACTATATTACAGGCATTTCTCTGCTTCAATTTGTGTTCATAGTAGCGTACTATACGGTCCAGCAAGAACCTACCCCCACCCCTAAAAAAAAAAAAAATAATAAAATAAAATAAAATAATAATAATAATAATAATAATAATAATAATAATAATAGTGATGATAAGGATACTAAGACAGCACAACTGTTTACGTCACCCATATATACTGACTTTCACCTTGGGGCTTATCTTTGTTTTGAAGATGCTAGATATGGGTTATCTTTTATCTTCAACGCACTCGCAATGCATCCAATCTCGTGTGCTTCTCGCCATCTGTGCAAACACGTGTAAAAGTAACCTCATTGTAAAGAAAGATTGCAGCTAAAGGTAAAAGTCATGACATTAGTACAGGCACTGTGCTTGTAACACCCTGACGATGGAGGTTAGTTCCCAGAAATCTCAGAATCTAAGGGTGATTGGCGGCCGACGCAACACGCATTATCACTTTTTTTACTGGAATATAAGGTGTCGTGAATTTGAGTTTTTTCATAACCCTTCTAACAATCACCCGAAACCTTTGCTGTTTCCCCAACAAAAACTAATGCTATTTTCCCCGTCCATTTCATAACCCCTCAAATTACTGCAATATTTAATCTGTCAAGACTTGAGTATAGGAATCTCAGCATTTCTCCCCATCTTCATGCATCTATGCGTTGGTAAGGAGATCTTAAATAAGTTGGTATTCTATCCACCGTTCTAGTGCTGGACGCCATGGGCAAGCCCGAGACTGGGATCTACCAAGGCAATCTGATGTGGATGGGGTTCTATGACGAGTGTGTGGGGACAACTGCAAGGACCACGATGTAAGTAAGTTTAAAAGCATTAAAACCTACGGTTAGCGTCCATGCATCAACTTTTAACTAGATTCTGTCAGTAAAGTTGTTAAAACTATTGATAGATAAAGATTTACATGTAACCCAATAGACGATTTTGAGTCTCCCTCTCGGCGACTTCAGCCGGTCTAATAACAATTTGATATATGAAATACGACTGGAAGACTTACCTACATACCTTCTTCGGTCGTCTCTAAATAGTATTAAGCATTGATATACACCACTGCAAATATCTGAAAGGATGAGATTCAAAAAAATCAAAATTGAACATCACCATTGCACTCTTACCGACGAAGATGAAAGGCCAAAATAATACATTACTTAGCCTATTACTATAACTACTTCTGCTACTACTACTAATATTAATAATAATAATAACAATAATAATAATAATAATTAAGATTTGTAAAAATGTGGAAATTTTAACAGTTCCATAAGGCAACATAAACACGTTATCAAAATACGCTTAATCCTTCCTTGCCGTTATATGTGTACTTTACATTTCCCGTGGCTCTGTTCCGTGCAGCTCCGTGACTCCTGGCTTATCTGTTGACCACGAGTTCCAGGGGAAATACTGCCTGGTAAAGATACCATTCCCAGATGGAGTTCTCAATGCGCCGCAGGTAATATTAAACCCACATTCGCCACCAAAGATGATCCCCGAACTAACAAATATGGCCGACCCACTTGAAAGCTTCCCCCCTAATCCCCACTGGGAATTTATTCAGTGCCTTTCAGGGGATTTTGCCGCAAGCTTTTAAGTGGGACGGCCATATATGATCCACAAATCTGTTAGTCCGCGGAACAACTGGTTGTGAAAGCGGCCTTTAACATTGTTGCCTTAAAAAATAACCCTTTGTTCCATTATTATCCGTCCGGCCTTTTCTTTGTACCGCTGATTGTGCTTTAAGTGACGACCCTTAGGCAGCGTTGAAGTACGAGAAATTAAGAAACTCAGCATTGTCAGAGAATTCATTTAAATTATGAAATCGATAGCCGAGAAATAATGTATATCTATTGTAGAAGTACAGTTTAAGCTATGGTGAACACTAGACAGCCAAACAGCTAGCGTAACTATTCGGTATATTGTAGGAAGCAAGTATCCAGGTAGCTATGTGTGTTTCTGAACGGTGTTCTTCCAGAGATTTAACAGGTAGGAAATAGACAAATAAAAAAATGTAGGCCCCTCTTAGAACAACCTGGGTTTTCACCTCTGGTTGTCAGAAGCTGTTGTTGGCATTCGTTAGTATGCCCTAGAATTCTTTAATTAATTTTTAATATTCAAGGAATTATCATTCAATCAATCTGTTCAGTTTTGCAACTACTTGTTTATTTTATTGTTCATTCCTTGCTCTCTTTCCTTTTCCTTCTTCCACCCTAATTCTTCCTTTTCCTATTCATCAAGATATTCTTATTTTCTACACTATTTTCTCTCTCCATTTTTTCCAACATGCATCAGTCCCTCCTTTATTTCATTTTTCCTTATAATACACCCCTCCCTTCAATCAACCGTATTAACGTAGGTTTCTTACATTTCTTAACCGTCACATTCCAGCTGCTTTTCGCTCCATTGGCGCCAGGGATGCCGTACAGATAGTGTGCAAGGGAGACAGACGTCTTGACTTCAGAACCGACGCTGGCGCCATCTGTGCAAGGTACATTTGCACTGTTTCCCAGCAAATGTGATACTTATGCCCATATAAACAGCGGGGTGTATATATATATATATATATATATATATATATATATATATATATATATATATATATATATGAAATCAAGCTATTAATATGTTAGAAGTGAGCAAAACTGTTCAACTATTACATGTTAGAAGTTTTTGATAAACCAATGCAATACTGGTATATCTGAATTAGTTCATCGAGTTTTAAAATATTTTTCTTTAACAGAGATTTATTGGTGTCCAAAAATTATTCATCTTCTTATTTCTGCATAATTATTTGTGTTTTAAGTTTACCAGTCATGTCATTTAGAGATGCATGTGTTATACAACAAAGATGTTGGGAGATAATGATACCGGGTAAAGCACAACATTTTAACTGCTTAGACTGCTATTATGTCATAAATGGACTTTTGTCCCTTTGTAGCATTCTTGGGTGTGTGTTCGTTTTGGTGGTCATTTTGGGGACTGTCTATGACGTTCTGGACTCTCGTTATTTCTCAACGAGCACAAAGACTTCCCGCGCTTCCAAAACTAATCCATCAAAGAAAAATAATGTTACGTTGACTGTGAGTATCATATACAAAGTCAAAGCAGATTTTACATATTACGAATGGCACAGATTCAGATTTTCGCTATTAGACCATTCTTCTTTTAATATTAATCAAAATTATGACATCATGTAATGCACAAAACGGTCTAGTTCAAAAAGTATATTTTCTCAGGGTCGAATGATTTACTAGAATCTCTAAATCGTTAAAATGACAAGATTTGTCGTTACAGCGTTCGATGTGTGATGAGTGCAAGAAGACAAACAGCTGTCAGTGGTGTGATGTTTGCTGTGCTAGCATGTGCCACCATAACAAAGTCGAGTTAGATGGCGGTGATGAAATACAGCATAGAGACAATGACGGTAAACGCTTCATTATCATGTATTTACCGTGTATGTAAAACACATGGACTGGTTTATAAATGAGGACCAAATTAATTCCAAAATACAAGCACATAAAATCGTTTTTTAAAACAATTAAATAACTAAAATTATAAGTGAGGAGAAGTCCTTGTTACCTTTTTTACTATACACGTTGCTGTTTTAGATTTTGAAGGGGCTTTAGAAAACAGATGGTTGTAAATGTACGTTATCTGTGTAGTTTAACTGCTTACTATTCTCTGCCTGTTGCCCATCTTGAAGCATAGGCCACCTATAAGATCCTTCCTTCCACCCCTGATCTTGTCTCTACTTGGTTCCATGTTTTGTACTCAGATGTATCATTTCAATCGTGAGTTGATGAAACATACTATGTAATAACATATATCCTGTCACTATGGACAATATAACGATTACAGGTTCAGTGACATCTTTTGGACTTGAAACTTATAAGAATGGACGACGCACAGATGAAGACCAGTTGCTGCCAAAGAAAAGAGGTAATATAAAATAAGGGTGCTTAAAAT